TCATCAACAAAATTCTGGACAAACTGCAATCGTGGAAAGGTAAACTTTTTCTATTGGTGGTCGAGCAATTTTGATAACACATGTGTTGCAAAGCATGCCAATACATTTGCTGTCAGCAGTGAACATCCCGTCATGTGTCATTAATAAAATGCACAAGATGTTTGTACAGTTTTTCTGGAGTAATGCGGTAGGTGGTAAAGGAATGCACTAGGCTTCTTGGGATACATTTAGCTTACCATCTTAAGAAGGACGGGTAGGATTTATATCATTACATGATGTCTCCAAAGCTTTAATTTGTAAACTTTGGTGGAATTTTAGAACTAAACCTAACTTATGGAGCTCTTTCATGCATCAAAAATACTGCAATAAATTAAATGCTATGGTAGTATAATGGAGAAATGGATCACATGTTTGGAGAAAGATGTTAGAATGTAGAGATAACATTGAGCATCAAATAATATGGCAATTAAGAATGGGCTCCTCACTTTTCTGGTTTGACAATTGGACAGGATTACGAGCATTGTATTTCATTACTCCATAGGATTTTTATTGTGATGAAGATATGCATAATGTGAATGATGTGGTGGAGGAAGGAAAATGGGATGAGGACAGGATTATGAACATTTTACCCCATGATCTTGAAATTCATATCATTGAGAATATTAAGCCTCCAGTAATGCATGATGAATTAGATAGACCTTATTGGATGTTGGAGACTACATGTAACTTCACGGTCAAATCTTCATGGGAATACACTAGGGAGAGAAGAGATTCCAAAATTACATTTAGAAACATGTGGGTGAAAGGGATTCCTTTTTAAGATTGCCTTCTTCATGTGGAAGGTTTGGAAATCTAGGCTACCACTTGATGATCATTTTAGAAGGTGGGGCTATTTCATGCTATCGAGGTGTTGGATTTGCCGAAGTCCAGACGAGGAGACATTAGTTCATGTTTTTTATAGATCATATGCAGCTACCAATGTTTGGTACTACTTTCTCTCAAATGCAGGGATAGCAATGGAAGGTCTCTCCTTGCAACAGGCAATAACTAAGTGTTGGACTGTCCAGGTAGTGCCAAGACTCAACCCTATATTTCATGCACTGCCCTCAATCATTTTGTGAGAAATTTGGAAGAGGAGTAGTTATAAGCATGGGGAAGCGGTGTCAATTAGTAGAGTTATATACCAGATATCATCTACATTACAAGCTTTAGTCAAAGTGAGGAAACCGAGCTTGCAGAATGTTCCACACAAATGGCCAGATTTATTGCATATAATGGAGAATTACACTCCTCCTCTGAAGGTGACCAAATTCTTATGGGAAGTTCCTTCTCAAGGGTGGATAAAAGTCAATATAGATGGTAACCCAGGCAGGAGTTCGATTGGTTTTGTACTAAGGGATGAAGAAGGAGATGTTAGGTTTGCTATGGGAAAGGAGATACAGGAGGTTACCAATACTGATGCTGAAACACGTGCTATTCTTGAAGTTTTGAAATACTTTATACAACATAGCTGCACGCAGATATGAGTGCAAACTGATTCAATGCTACTGAAAAATATTGTTGAAGGCACATGGATTGCACCTTGAACAGTAGTTGCATATGTGGAGGAAATCAAGGGCATCATGTAGAGATCTAATGTCAGAATATCGCACATCATGAGGGAGGGCAGCAAAATGGCTGACTACCTAGCTAATTATGCTCTTGATAGTGGCTACATTGAAGTGCATAGTTTTGATCAATTGGAGATACAAGGAAAAAGGACTGTGAATAGTGATAAACTACAATGTCCATACCTAAGAGTAAGATTTGCGAGGAGCTAAGAGGTAAGGAGGAGAAGAGTAGTAAGGGGCTGGAGAAGGCTGGAGTCATTAACTTGGTTCACCATGTTCAAGTCCTTATGGAGGAGGACATGGTGATTATTATTTCTACTAACCTCGTGTTCTTTTTTGCAGGAGAAGTTATTGTATTCATGCCTTGCCTTTCGATACAAATTCTAAGGGTGGTATTAGCACTATGTGCTCACTCCCTTGAAGGAGTATTGAAGGTGAGCACAAGCATGGAAGCAAGGAATCAAAGGAAGAAACTAGGGCTTGACAGTGTTCCTAAGGTCTCCAATCTTGTGAGGCAAACACACAGCCTAGTAGGCGAGAATACCTATTGGAAATGGAAAGTACCCAAGTTAGGGAGAGACTGTCATGCACATTGGATCCCGTGTACTTGACACTGCCCAGAATTAATGGAAAGTACCCAAGTTAGGGAGAGACTGTCATGCACATTGGATCCCGTGTACTTGACACTACCCAGAATTAATGTCCTAACTGGTGTGATATGGGTTGATTATATTGACCTACTGGATACATTTGAAGCAGTGCGGAGTAGAATCCTAATTAACTTCATTACTACACTATCTCAAGAGATTTTTTAGGATAAGGATGAACTGGGATTCAGCTGGAGAAAGCACGAGTGTTAGTTCAAACATTACATGCCAAGTTCTGCGTAACATTGTAGCACAATGGACATAATGGACAATGCGCGTGAATTAACTATACCCCATGGTTTTTCATGCATTTACCTAGCTCATATACGTAAAGAGGTACGCCAGAGAGGCTGGGTTTGGACATGGGAATCACAGGTATGTAATCACAACAAAACAACATATGGGAATACACGATTGATATCAAGGGAAGTTGCGACAAACTTTCAATGCATCTGGATGACTGTGGACTGTCTATTCTTTGAGTTACAATGTATGAGGGGTTTTGCTTGCAAATAAACACTATGCTCATGGATCATTGTATTGCCCAGGGTCGCTAAATTCTGGGCAGTGTACTACTTTGTTGTCAATAAGTATTTCATTTCGTAGGATAACATGTGCTACCAAATTTGAGTGTTATTTGCTCAAAATTGGTATTAGGGATTATATAATTTTCAAAATATGCCCTAGCTTTTTGTAAGACCTTATGTTACTCTATTTTATTTTAAATGTGTGTATATATATATATATATATATATATATATAAAGTAGACATAGGCACCTTGCCTAATGAATTTGTTAAAAAACAAAATTAAGCCTCTAAGGGCATCCCATCATATCATTTCGGCCTCAGTGGGCGATATCATCAACATATACCAGCTGATCAGGTGGTGGTGCGTATATAATATCGTAACATTTCCTAATACTTCATATACATATTATATACGCGTATATAATGTCATCTGGTCATGGATCAATATACATGTATAAATGAATACAATGCATAAGGAAGTAAGTCGATAAGATCTCTCGGAATGTCAAAAGATCAATAGTCCTTCAGTTAATATCATCAAATAAACTTTATCAACATATATATTTTCTGAGACTCATGAACAGACAATATAATAATAGGACACATGGGAAATCAAGAACATAGGCACCTCTAGTACTTCTAAGAATAGAGTCATTTGTAAAATTTGCTCGTTTGCTTGTTTCGTTGGTATCGTATAGATCATACCAAAAGGAAAAAAGGTATAGCCTCAACATACATTTGCACTCTTCTCTCCAAACGTCAACCAAACTCAATATGATCTTCTTACGTCTACAATGAGTAAACCGACTTCGCCTTCATCATATAAGTGTTGTAATTCTCATATTTCAAAACCAATATTCTACAAGAAAACGGATAGCACCTCCCATGCTTGTACTACATCAAATAAGTTACTAAAAGTCACAAAAGCCCAAACAACAATAATATAATTCACAATAAGCTCTCTGATTACTTAACAACTATTTTAAGCGGCGGGCTCGATTGACGATTAACAAAATATGGTTTTAATCCAACTCCTTTTTCATGAATCTACCTATAACATCTATAACATCATATGTTACCACATCATTTTCAGCCCAAAGCTTCTTAAGAACNATATATATATATATATATATATATATATATATATATATATATATATATATATATATATAGCTTCAACACAGCCAACAAAAAAAAGATAATGATTCCTTATGCCATGTCAATTATTATCTTGTAGATTTACACTCAAACAACTCAACCAACAAATGATTAACCTTAAGCACAATCAAGAATATTATTTACTTATATTAGAAAGTAGATACAACTTGAAATCCCCAGTTGGTGTAGCTCACAACAACCCTTAATCACACCACAACTCTATAGGAGTTGTATTCTCTTGTTGAATCAACTTTTGTATTCAAGTTTGTGTGTAAATACTTATATTTCAATTTGAAACTCTAATATATATGAAGGAGGAACTGATTCTTATATTAATCAAAAATAACAATACGAAATCTGATGTTACTTTACTTTGAAGTATACTCCAAAACAACCACAAGATTAAGAACTACGATTTAGCAAGTACCACAAAAATTCTAGCATTGAATTCATGTTTTTATCTTTGGTTTTCACTCTAGATTCATGGAGACTGCTTGAAGAGCATCTAGGAGGGTTTAGGAACTGTTTTGGTTGAGAAAAATGACTTAAACTTGAGCTATAGTTGACTTAAATACGAGTTGGACTTTTTCACCGATTTTGTGGGTCCCAGGGGAGTTACTTGTGTAGTCTCGTGAAAACATGAATATCTCTCTACTCTAATGTCATATCGAAGAACAGTTTAATGTGTTGACTAGACTCGTAGACCTTGAATTTAATAGGTGGATCATCCCGTAACTCTTATTATATTGAGAGAAAAGCTCTGCTACATTTGACCTAATTTTTAGCGCATTTACGAATGTAACTTGTGATGACTTTTGTTTCACAACTTGCTTGACTTCAAAACTCAAAACACGACTATCATACGACTATAATAACTCATAACATAACTTCCTTATCATGTTAAGCACCCTAATCTCACCCCAAAAGTACATGTTATAATATTCTCAATTTGTCAACTTTCGACGAAACTTATTTTCTTCAATTCGTTTAGCCTCTAAGCTTTCTAAACCTCTTGGTACTTGTTATTCATGATCTTAAATATTTATAACCTCCAAGTAACATGATTAACTTACTTTATATACTTTCAAAGAGAATTTTATTTTTGAGCCTACATCAATTGACTAACAACGTACTTTTTCATACGAAAACATGGGGTGTAACACCTAGCATGATGACTGATAATATGGGTTTTCGTCCGAAAAATGACAACTCAGTAAAACTGGTAACTTCCCCGAGCGTTGGTGTTAGATCACAATTGACAAACTTGAAAACCACTTTGGCTAGATCCCAGAGCTCTATTAACAACCTAGTGAGCGCTCTATCAGCTCGAATGTTCATCAGTGCAGTCAGTGCTCCGAGATGTATCCAGATTCCATCTCCATGTTCTCGTCAGATGTTTCTCCACCATTGTTTCAGCTTGTGGGGCACTCGCACGACCATTGTTCATTTTCAGGATGATGTGGTTGATTTCCATCTAAAAGGGTAGAAAAGGTTAGGTAAGTGTGTTGTTTAGAACCCTTGGTGTCTTAATCTGGATTAACTTGTCATTCCACATAAGGCGTGTTGTTAGGTGCATGACCTGTTGACATTAGGGTGGCTTTCCTACTCATGATTCAATGCCATGGATTGACTCACCTAAGGTGTATGCAGCATGAGCTATGTTTGCTAAGAGTAGAGTGTTTCCTAAATTTTAGAGTAGTACTGAATAACTATGAGATGACGTGTCAGTTGACCTAACAATGTCGTTCTCTGAAACTAGAGAGTTTTGAAAAGAAGGGTCGGAAGGGTGAAAAGACAACCCTCGCGTGATTTGTGTGTGATTGTGTACGACTAAGACTCGATAGAAAAATGTGATGACAGTGTATAAAGCAGTAACAAGTAATTGTGATGAGTCAGTGATAATATTAAGAATAAAGCAAGTAACACATATTTGTAGATTACGAGGACATATAATAAAGTGTTGTGCAAATAGAACAAAGCAAGTAAACAATTATTTGCAAATTATATAAACATGTAAACACATAATAAATTGTCAAAATAGAACATAAACAAACATCCCCGAGTTTCAAAGTCTAGCCTAAGTCTGCTAAGGTCAGAACCTAAGTGTAAAATCCCCAGTAGAATTGCCATGTTGTTACACTCTATTTTGCACAGGTCAAAACCAAATACAACTTGTGGTTTCCTGAAGTTGATAAAAGAAGAGTCGCCACATAATATTTAAAGATATACTAGGGTACCTATAAGTCTATAAAAATTATTATCTTAATGGTCTACTAAATTAGTGAGATCCGGGTAAGGGTTCAAGTTAATATAAGGGGAAGATGTTAGGCATTTCTTAAAATTTACATGAAGTAGTTCCTTAAACTTAGGCTAGGTGCGGAGAAAGAATTGTCATATTCTAGTTGATTGATGATTTGAAGTTACTAAACAAGTCCTATGTGAAAGTCTTGACTAAGTGAGAAAATATTTTAATTCCTATTTGAAAACTCATGCTATAAAAAAAGATTTTGCAGCCTTAGAGGTGGCGACATTTATTTCAAAACTAAATGATAAGGTTTATAAAATAAGGGATTGTTTGAAAACATGAATTTTATGTTAACTCATATGAAAATTGTACCTTTTTTTTTTTTTTGAAGACTGTTTGGTATAATACAAAATGTTTTCCAAAAAAGAAAGTCATTTTTTATCTTTTGTAAAATCCAAATCGGGGTTCATTTTTCAGTTGCTGCTCCGATTAAGTTGCCTAAGGTATCTGTTCGCAAAGGTTTTCAAAGTGTTGTTTCCACCTAGACTATGCATATTCCGTAAATTTCCTAAAATAAATGAAAGCTTATTAGGAAAAGAGTAAGTAACGAAAAGACTTAGTTGACCACCCGTTAACCCAACATTAGAGTCCAGCCCCTTTTGCTCCATTTGAAATTATTGTTATTTTCTTGTTCTTTGTATATGTCCTTATGGAACTAACGTTGATATTGAATATTTGTTTCTACTTTGATTATTTGGGAAAAACTTTAGGTAACTCAAACCTAATAATATAAAGGTAACTTTGATCGAAAGATTACTTGCTTCATTAGCCTCAATCATTATGTGCATAGAGTAAACTACACTTATTTATAAGGTTCCCCTATAGACCCCTAACACTTCAGAGTTCATGAGGGACCGGGACTCTTGGACCCCGAGGAGTGCTTGTGTCAGGGAGGGGTTTCTTAATAGTAAAGTCAAGCCCACTCAAAACACCCATAAGCATTGAACGTCATTTTCTACGGAGGTTTAAATCCTATCGACATGGCATCTAACATAATAGTGCATATTGAAAGTTACCAGCATCCAGTCAAACCTTCAAGTTATCAGGACCAACAATATTCAATCATATCAGTGAAAAAACCTTCTGGACACTGGACAGTGTCTTCAGACATCAAATGATCGATGAGATAACAAGAAGCATTTATTAACAGCTAGCCAAGGCAAAACAAGCATGTGACGACAAGTCATCATTTTTTATTCAATTAAACATGATCATTGTTAAACTCTAAGAAAAACATGCTAAGCTAGATAAATAATACTCACTCCGTTTCAATTTATGTGAACCTGTTTGACTGAGTACGAAGTTTAAGAAAAAATGAAGACTTTTGAAATTTGTGGTCTTAAACAATTTTAAAAAGGGCCCAGAGTATTTGTGTGGTTATAAAAGCTTCTCATTAAGGGTAGAATTGTAAGTTTAAGCAAAATTGTTTCTAAATTTAGAAAGGGGTCATTCTTTTTGGAACGGACCAAAAAGGAAATAGGTTCACATAAACTGAAATGGAGGTACTATTTATCATATGTTTCTCTTCTGCATTCGCATAAAACATTCATAGCTAAGTAACAAAGGTCATTTTATCAACTGAACAGAACAATATGGTACAAATGGCAGAACTGTCAACTGGAACCACTTGATTAACCAAGCATATCAACATGAAAATGTAGGCATAACTATCAATGAGGATCATTAGATTAACATGGTAATGACTGTCAACAAGGATCATTCAAGACAACACAATAATATAAGCATAAAGACCATTCAATTAGTTAGGCAATACACCATGAAAATATAGGTATGAGAAATAGAACTCAATGATCACCATAAGATGTTGATTTAAACAACAACATAGGGGATAAACACAACTATTTGCAAGAAGTATCAGATGATTAAGTGAAAAATAACACAAGCAGCAGAACACAATTGAAGGTCACATACGTGACTGATAAGTATCATGAAGAAGAATAGAAAAGNTCAGTGGTCTACTGACCTGCTTCAAGGCAACAAATCAAGTAGTAGTTATTAGTCGTTTAAGGACTAAAGCTCACAATCAATTCTTAGTAGTTGAAATCGAGCAAAAATGAAAGAAAGAAAGAAAGGAAATTAGAGAAGAACTTTTAGAGTAGAGAGCATTTACTAGACTTCTTCAGGTAGTTTGTGTGTTTGGTGAGGGCATTAAAGCCCTCTATTTATAGCTACACTCAAGACTTATGGTCTCACTCAAAATTTGAAAATCTGTGAGATGATGATGAGTGCTGATGACTGAGAAATGATGAAATCAGGAAGGGGAGAAGGGGTAAAGATTTTTACCTCTCAAAATGACGAGTGGAGCTCTTAAAGCCAATCGGAGCTTCGGGCAAAGCCAATGTCCAGAGGTCACTGTCTTTGACCTCTGGAAAATAGACCATCATGATGCGGTCAAGATCTAATGAATTTGTAACTGCATGTGATGTTTTGAATGAGCAAAAGAATAAAATGATGAGATTCCAGCTCTTTCATGTTTGGGATATAGGGTTTCGGGGTTTGGGATTCAAAATCGGATGAGGAAAAAAGAATACTCGGCGGGACTCACGATTGAAAGAGAGAAATGATGAATCTTTGGTTATCTTGAGTGATTTTACATGGATTGATGTTAGGTTTCAGAGGTAGCCTGTGTGAGAGGATGAGAGAAGAAGAGGATGCAAGGATGGTGGATGAGATGAAATGTCTCTAGGGTTTGGGGGGTTAGCTTAGTTAAAATGAGAGATTGTATAGGAGCCGTTGGATCATTTAGATCAATGGTTCCAAATTTTTCGAGATAAAAAAGAGAAGAAAATATTCAGTGGGGATAAAACGGGGGCCGTTGGATCACTTTGATCCAACAATTAAAATAAAATGCTGGGAGGTTTAGAAATTAAAGAGGAATTATGATCAATTTCGGAACATTGATGAATTTGATAAACAGTCCAGATGGACTGTGTTTGTTGTGTGAGTGAGTTTGAGCGGGTGACATGGCGCGATGTGATTGGTGGAGAGTGAGTGGCGAGGATCGCCAAGTAGGACGTGTAGTGGGGCTGATCAACCAGGTCAGGGGTATTGGGCCAGTATTTGTGGGCCCATTGTTTGTGTATTAGGCTGGAATTCAATTTGAATTATGGCCACTTGAATAAAAATCATTCAATTGCAATTGTAGCCTATTTCAAGTTTTAACCCCCTTTTATAATTAAATCAATTAAGCTTATTTAATCCCAATAACATGTAATAAAATATAATTAACAGATGTGTTATTAATTAATTTTTGTAATCTAGTTTTAGATTACCAAAATAATTATAACACCCGTCTATTAAATTATGAAAGCTAATTGTTTAATTAGTTAAAGTAATAGAGGTAGTATAAGTTATAATTATTTACGACCAAATTATTATTAGTCATATAATCAATATTCTTAACTATTATTATACTTATTCTCACCTATTATATTATTTATATTTGAGAAAATTAGATACTAATAATTTTAAAATACTTTACTACATTTATTGTTGATTAATAAGCGTAAAAATTTAATTTAAAAAGGAGAAGGGTCAAAATTGGTCGTCAACACGGGTACCGATTGTGGTGTACTTATACTACACTTCTTCAAATATTTATGCCTAAGTAGAGGCCGAGCCGGGGAACGTGCCATAGCTGGATCCCCTTCTAGAGCAGCAGCGGTGGAACCACTAATAGCTCCAGTAAAGGGGCAGGAGCACGAAAATGTTGAGCATGCACCTTAGGGGCCTATCGCTACACCATGACTTCAGGAGACTTTGGCCCACTTCATGAGTGTATTCGAGAGTTTGGCACAGGAAAGGTTGATTCCGGTTTCACGACTACTTCACAGGCTGAGGGAAGAGCCCAAACTCCCGTCGCCCGTACACTAGAGCTGCTGGATCATGCCTATCAGACACTGAATTTTATATCATTGCAGCCAGTAGTTGCAGTCCATCCCGAGGTATGGCATGTCGTGTCTGCTGAGGGATAGAAGAGTTTGGAGAGGTTTCAGAGACTACGTTCTCCCTAGTTCAATAGAGGGGCTTCTGAGGATTCTCAGAGTTTCTTGGATCAATGACATGGCATTCTGCGTACTTTGGATTTGGTGGATTCGAGTGGGGTTGACTTTACTACTTTTCAGTAGACGGGGCTAGTATACTGTCACGTCCCAACCTTGGGGAGTGCGACCGGCGCTCGACTGAGACATCCCGGTCAAGCAAGCCTTCTACCCAGCCTTACCCATGAGCAACTTGAAATAAATTGTAAGAAAAAGACATGAAGGGGATAAAAGAGTTAGATATCATGTTTCATTACTTACAACAGATGCATTCATGATTACCAAAAGATTACAAAGTGTAACCAAATGGTTACAACATATATAGTCGATTTAATCAAATCAAAACGCCACTCACACTATGCCTACGGAGCCTTTAAATGGAACAGAAGAGTAGTATGATAGTGCTGGTGACAATGCCCCAACTATACTTGAAAAATACAATGTACAAGGAGCAAAAGACGCAAGACCCCGATAGGAAGTGGGGCTCACCAATTCAACTGAGATGAGGGTGTGCCGCTATCAATGATCGATGTCGCCTGCCCACTTGCATCCATTAAAGATGCAGCATCCCCGGTAACAGGGACAATAGTACATATGAAAAAGTACTAGTATGTAAAGCAAAATATCCTCTTATTGGATAGAGTAACAACATAAAGGGAGAGAAACATAAAATCAATGAGACCCTCAAATAATATTAAGAATGCCAAGTTAAGAGCAAGGTAAATCTTTAAGTAAATATCAATGTTCTAAGTTTGGAGATCTTTAGTACCGATACACCACTATGCATATAGCATGGAGTCCGATCTCCGCCCGATCGGCTAAGCCGTCTCACCCCAAAGTACGAAGATTGACATAGAAACACAACACTACCATGTGCGTGTCATGGCGTCTGATCTCCGCTTGATCGGCTTAGTCGTCTCAGCATAATGATGTGTGGTTAGACATGGTCCTTGCTAGCTATCAACTCATCCCAATCAAGGATAATAATCTCAATACAATATAATGAGATCTTGTCCCTCAATTAATCCCTACACCGACACATGTAGTTTCAGGCTTGGGCTTTAGTAACCTAGCCTTCTTCGATGACCTAACGATACTCCCAAAAATATCATGTAAAAGAATCACATTAATTTCATGCCTTTCATACTTGCTTTCACTTTATTGGCACTCTTGGCCACAAATGTAAATCATCATTCTTTGCACGATGGCCACATTTCATATTTCATACTTTCATTTGACATGGATTATAATTCATTTAAAGGCTCATATAAATCATCCAGAAAATCAAAGCTTCAGTTCATGAATACATAAGAGCTTAGAATACATTGGAAACATTTACAAATAGGAGCATAGTAATTTCAATGGAACCATGGATTTAATTCATAATCGTTTGATGATTCGATCATACTTGGACTATTTTCCAAGGGAGAGCATGATATACATATAGAGTAAGTGAGACATGATTTGGGTAATTAGACATTCAATAAGTCAAAACATTTGTGATGATTTAGCATAATAAGAATGGGAGCTTGGTCAAATCGCACTTGGAATTCATAAAGAACTCACGGAAACTCGATTCTATGGTAGGAGTTTAGCCAACATACCTCCATTAAACTTTCCTTAGAACTACTACAACGTTCCAAAACTCCTAGCAGTTTCAATCTATAGAGACATAATAAAATCGAACCATAATTAGGAAGGGGTTTATAGGTTCAGCTCATTTAAGCATTTCACCAAACACTAGGTGTGAAAATTTGGCTAAAAGGTCTTATGGTAGTAATCCTTCACCCCACAACCAATCCCCATATCAACAGCTCACCAATATTAGTTCAACAACCTCCCTACCACCTTTATTGGTACATGCATGCACAATGACCAACTTCCACTCTCAAGAATCATACTTCCCACTGAGTTATATTCAGCTCGTATCCGAAATTAAGATTTAGGAGTAGAACATTACCTCTTAGAAAAAGACCTTGTGAGTTCTTCCCTTTAATTTTCAAACTTGAGCAAGAAATTGAAGTGGGCAGATGTTAGTGCCTCTCCTTCTCTCTCTAGCTCCCTTCCCCTCTCTCTAAAATCTCATATTTTTGCCTTCAAAATAACCCCTATTGGCTTTTAATCAAAATATGGTCGGGTTTTAAAATACATAAAATGGACCCTCCGAACCCAACTCTGCGATCACAGAGTGCACCGCAGAACAGGTCTGTGGTTCATGAAAGGGACCGCAAAATTGACCTCCAAAACTAGGCAGGCCTGTTCAAGTCTGCAACCGATTTGCGGTCCACAGAGCAATTATGCGGTCGCATAGTAGATTGTGAATCCTCCCTCCATAATTCCTCATGCTGATTCTGCGATGGAAGTGCGGCCCGCAAAATAGTTATGTGGTCGCATATTGGACCGCAAAATAACCTTCAAAATTTAGCTTCTCCTATTCAACTCCGCGGAGATTCTACAGTCAGCGGAACAGTTCTGGCATTGTATAATGGACCGTAGAAACACCATGTTATGCAAAACAAATTTCTACCAACTCCAGAATACATTGCTCGACCCAAAAAGTCCGTACTGCTACAACCTTCCAACACGTTAGCCCATCTCGGCAACATAAAACCTTAAATTCCTTGCCAAAATTTTACGGGGCCTTACATCCTCCCCCGCTTAGGATCATTCATCCTTGAATGAGTGTCAAAGTCTGCCATAGACACCCAATGTGACTCATCTCTTTATTCAGACACCAAAAGTTCCAAATTTGACTAATTCCCCAAATTTTCAAATATTTCGGCAGAGTCTCCCCTATATTTGAGCCTATCCACTTGTTAGAACGCCCCAGGAACCAATCCCACAACATATTCATAATCCAAAGACGTAATACAGCATGAAAACAACACTAATCGTAATCTCATAGGCATTATATTACCAAAAGGGGCTTTTAGCATAACTATACAAGTTGAACATAATTCATGGAAAGTAAACTTCTAACATTCTTTTAGAACAAAACTACTTGGTTACACAAGCAAATGAGGGTATTTCCTTCTCATCTCTTCCTCGGCTTCCCAGGTGGCCTCTTCAGTTTGTTGGTTTCGCCATAGTATTTTCACGGAGGCAATCTCTTTATTCCTCAACTTTCAGACTTGTCCATCAAAGATGGCATTCGAAATCTCCTCATAAGTCAATTCTTCATTAATTTCAATAGTCTCTACCGGAGCGATGAGCGTCGGGTCTCCGATTACCTTCTTCAACATGGACACATGAAACATCGGGTGCACTAAAGACATCTCTTGAGGTAACTAAAGCTTATAGGCCACTTGACCAACCCTTTGTATGATTATGTACAGTCCAATATATCTTGGATTCAATTTCTCTTTCTTCCCAAATCGCATTATACCCTTCATGGGAGAAACCTTTAAAAATACCCAATCATCCTCTCTGAACTCTAAATCCCTGTGACGTACGTCCGAATAGGACTTCTAATGATTCTGAGCAGTTTTCAACCGTTCCTTAGTGATCTTGACCTTCTCCATAGCCTGATGCACGATGTCTGGCCCTATCAATTATGCATCCCAACACCAACCGATGGGAGATCTATACCTCCTACCATATAGAGCCTTGAATAGTGCCATCTGAATGCTAGCGTGATAGATGTTGTTGTAGGAAAAT